GGGGGGCCGGAAAAATTCTAAAGTGACCGCCAAACGACATGCGGCCACATAAACAAAGCATTACATTAACTACAGGCAGAAAGTTGCCAATGAAGCTCACTTCTAGACTGCAGCGTCTCCAGACTTCCAACAAGGTAGAGGAAGTCAGTAAGTGCTGCAATGCTTTGTTTATGTGACTACCTGACGTTTGGCGGTCACTTTAGAATTTGCCTGGTCCCTGTACACGTGGGCTGGCCTTCGAGCCACGTTCAGGCCTCATTTCTCCTATTATCTTCGGAATACATGTATTCAATCTCACTTATGCATTCTACTACCCCATGGGAAGCCTTGGGACGCCACAAGTGCAGCTGGATACGTCTATTCCAAGGGGAACAAAGCAGCTAGGTGTGAGCATGGCCCGAAGGCCAGCCTACCAGTGCAAGGGCCAGAAAAATCCCAAAGTGACCGCCAAACGTCAGCTGGTCACATAAAAAAGGTATTACATAGACATATCTGTAAAACTTTCTTTGCGTAACTATCTAATGTCTACTGGTTAAATAAATACTCGTATTGCCCTTGTGAGGGTGGGCTTATCTTCGGGCTGAATCGAGGTCATACTGTAATACTTTGTTTATGTGATCACATGGCGTTTGGTGGTAACTTTGGGATTTGTCTGGCTCTTATGCACATAGGCTGGCCTTCGGACCTAGCCCACATCCATTTGTTCTGCTGTCTTCAGATTAAATGCATTTAACTACTCTTACTGACTTCTTACACTGGCCAGGTCTCGAGATGCTACACCTACTTCCTCACATCCTCCTAGAATACACGTGGTCTTCTATCTGGTAGGAATTCTCGGGGCATTACACTAGTTGCTTTCGGTAGCAGAAAGCAGTTAGCGTGGCTGAATAAATATGATTCGAGAAGAGTAGTAGAAGAAAGGTGATGGCTTAGCTACGCGGTCACCGCCATTCATGCAAGCAGTTTTCTAAATAAGGCATTACGTTTGCTACTTCTAACCTAGTTTTCACTGCTTTTGACAAACTTCTGCAGTGTGAATGGAGTGCGTCCACTTATTATTATTATTATTAGCGCCTCCATAATATAAGGATTGAGAACATCTTTTTTGGTTTGCTTCTGTCATGTTCTTGTGTTCCTTGGACATATTACTGACAAAAACCGAAGCTGCACTTGCAGCATTTTGTTTGTGTGATTATGTGGACGAGTAACCGTTACTTTGGCCTTCGATTAGCTTTTGTGGGCTAGCCTTTGGGCCAAGCCAAACCAACTTCTAGTATGATTCTAAAAAGCATGTATTCAGCTAAAAGTGCTTCCTTTGTTCATTTAATTGGAGGTCTCAGAGAGTTGCAGGACTACCCTGAATTCTCAGATTTCTTTTGTACGCCCACTTATGAATGCCAGCCATGAAACCAAGCTAGATTTCCTTATATAAGGGATTGTGGGCCAACCTGTTTTCTCGTAATGAGTTTAGTTGGATCAGTATTCAAACGTCTAGTCATGGACACAATTAGTGATAAGCAGAGATGCCCGCTCTTTATTCCCTTTTCAGACCTAACCTAACCCTAGGTCTGGCTAAACCTGCTAAACAGGTCAAGTACAATCTCTCATTTTCATTAAAGCTGACGTTTGGCCTTGCTGCAACATGGGTATATTCTTACAGCGTCGAATGAGTTAATGGGGTAATGGAGAAGGTGCGCAAACTGACATTGCTGGAATAAAGGAGAGAACAATGTTCTAGCATTTTTGCTCAAATACTTTTGTGTATGTAAGTCGCCTTAATGTTCGTTTTGCTTTAGGCAGGGTAGACTACCCTTCGGTTCGGAGCATTACTCTATGCCTAACGCCATCCTACAACCATCCAGAAGCTCAGATATGCTCTAAAACCCACACAATACAATCAAAATGGCCGTCAAATTAGACGCCATTAGTAAGGGGGCCAATCAGCCAAAATATCGATAGTAGTGTAGTACTCTGCCTATGCGGCCGCCTAAAGTCTATTGATGGCGTTGGTATTCATCTTGCTTTTACACACATGAGTTGGCCCTCGGATTAAGCCAAGCTTCAAACCCTTCTTTTCGGCCGGAATGCATGCACTCAGCACAACTTACTGCAATCTTCTACTTAGCAGGAAGTTTTGGATTGTTACGTTTAACCTTGGATTCTGTTTGCTATTTTCATGATGTTGTTATATAGATAATACTTTGTTTGCGTGACCATATGGCGTCTGGCGGTCACTTCAGGATTTGTCTGGCCCTTATGCACATAGGCTGGCCTTCGGGCCATGCCCAGACCCATTTGCCCTGTCGTCTTCAGAATTCATTTATCCAACTGCACGCTCTGACTTTGTGTACTGGCCAGGAGTTCTCGGAAGCCACACTATTTTCGCCGTAAAATGTGTAAATACTACATATTTGAAAAATATAACACTTGGTTTGTATTTTATAAAACGACATTCTTTCTTAAAACAAATTAACTTCTTAAAAATTTTTTTAATGTTTTTAAAAGATTTGTGGGATATTTTATCATATAACTATCCGGCAGATTTGTTATAATCATCTATTGCAATGTAGGTCTTATAAAGTTGCCAATCGGAAGCTTTCTCTGTGAAGTTTAATATCGGTGTGTCTCTTGTATACTTGGGGCTCGTGCATACGACACTGCAGTTTTGTAAAATAGTGCATGCTATCTGCGAGAGGCCTTCTGCCTACACCACAAAGCCTTGTTGTGCTCATTTTCTATTGCTGTACTGTCATTGAGCTCACGCTTCTGTGTACCGTTATTTTATATGCTGTTGTATCGAACGTTTATGTGCTTTTGTTATTTTCGGCATACCTTTCTGACCCTTAATGGTCTTAATGAGGCTATTCTCGGTTCTGACTTCTGTATTATTCATAACGTTTTGTGCTGAGCTAGCTCCTAAGGCCCTTAAAATTATTTTTAATTTGGTAATTAATGTTATTGTGAGGCTGTTTAGTGCTTATCGTAGGCATTTTACCTTCATCCTCCCTTTCCACTGCCTCATCTGATCGCTCCTGTCGAGGGTCAAAAACTCTCTCTAAATCTGCCTTTTAAATTAGGTTTTACGTCGATATTGAGTACGGAATCTGTGTGACAAACAGCACAAAGTTAATGAACTTAGAATATGTATTTCATCTGTTTTAACCGTTACAGTTTTGAATAAACTAGTTTTGTTTAAGGAATGGGACGTGACTTTTTTGTTTTCATTCCTCATCTCTAAATTTACTGTATTCTTGTTGTCTACAGGCGATCAACTTAGATTTTCGTCTTATGCAGCCAAAGAGTAGTGGGAGCGTTAACGATGGTTCGCTAGCCTCCTCCCAGCGTCTCACTTCTCAATCGACCCCGTCTCAACCCAGGGTGCCCCAGCCCTCAGACTTTAAGTTCGGTAAGGAGATTGGTCATGGTTCCTTCTCCACTGTGTACGTTGTCAAGGAAATCGCCACTCAACGCGAATTTGCTATCAAGGTGGTCAGCAAGAAACAGGTTACCGCCAACAAGTCTGTCAAGCTCGCTGTCTTTATGGAGCGAGAGGTGCTGCGTCGCACTAGTCATCCTCTTATCGTTCGCCTGATGTACACCTTTCAAGACCCCTCTCGTCTCTACTACGTCCTGCAGTACGCTCAACGGGGTCATCTCCTAGATTACCTCCAAAAACTTACGTCTTTCAATAAGCAAGGCACTCAGTTCTACGCTTCGGAGCTATTGCTGGCTCTTCGCTACCTGCATTCCCACTCTATCGTCCACCGGGACGTAAAACCCGAAAACATTCTCCTCACACTCGATATGCACATCAAACTTGCAGATTTCGGTTCTGCTATCATCCTTAACGACTCTTCCGTTGAGGCGCCCGTCTTCACCGGTACTCCGGAGTATGTCAGTCCTGAAATGCTTCAGTTCTGTACGCCCCTATCTATCACCTCTTCTTCGTCCTCCGACTCCTCAACTTCTGAGGATGAGTTCCGAGATAGGAGGGGTAAATCTGATGCTGCCTCCTCAAATCTCGCTGACTCATCTTCCTCTGATCTCTCCTATTTAATGGATTACTGGGCTCTAGGCTGTGTTGTCTACCAAATGCTTTCCGGACGCCTCCCCTTCCGTGCTGACAAATTTGGGCACCAGTTTGATGTGTTTCAGAAGGTTCATACTCTTAATTATACCTTTCCTGAGAGATTTGATGAAAAGGCAAAGGACCTTGTGCAACGCCTCCTTGTCCTCTCCCCCTGTGAAAGGCTAGGCAGCCCAGCTACGGGTGGTCCAGACGCCCTTCTCTCACACTCATTCTTCTCTGGTGTCGATTGGGAGGGTATAATCGACAGTGAGCCGCCCACTCTAATTCCCAACCTGGAGCCATTAGAGCACAATGATTGGGATAAAGTACCTGCGGGTTATACTGCTAGTCAAAAATATTTTCTCTCGCTGGAGCTTGCTCTAGCTACCAGTCAGATTACAGAGCTACAGCGCGAAGAGTTGTTGAAGAAACAGGCTACAGAAAATGCCTTCCATCGTTTCGTGAAAGGACGTCTCATCGTAAAACAAGGCATCTTATACAAACGTCGGGGTCTGTTTGCTAGAAAGCGGATGTTCCTTCTTACTGAAGGGCCCCACCTCTTCTATGTTGATCCTGAGGCCATGGTGCTTAAGGGGGAGGTGCCTTGGAGTAATTTTTTGCGAGTCGAATGCCGAAGTAGCAAGATATTTTCCATCATTGTGCCCAATCGAATCTACTATTTAGAGGACCCCTCCGGTCATTCAGGCGATTGGCTGAACAAGCTTCGTCAGGTGAAAGCTCTCTACTACTCGGATCCCATAGATTGACCAGTGGCACCTGCTCTGTTTATCCATTTCATACTTTATTCCTGCTTTCTCCACCTCTTTCCATTCCTGGAGTAACCAGCTTCATTGCCCAAAAGTTCGCTCTTTCCTCTTTCTTTCCCTTGCGAACGCTAGTCGGCTCGGCACAAACCGCCTGTCTGCCTACCCGCCTGCACTTTATATTTTGCTCTCTACCGAAGCTGATGCATTGCCTCACACACGCATACACACACTAGTCGGGTGTTCTCATGGGAATAAAACTTTAAACCATTTTGGTTACATTTCCTCCTGTTTCTCTATTTCGCTGCTTACTTTTTGCGCGTGACTGTGTTTCCGTTCATTCCGTCGTATTTATTTATCGAGAACGGCAAACTTGACAGATTTATACTTTAACAAGTAGTTTGGGCTGGAATCAAAATGCACATCTTTGGTAATAGTAGCCGCCAAGTTCTGTTCATTGTAGTTTTTCCACTCATCCAGGGTAAATAGATGATCTTTTAACTTCCCAAATTGAGCTCTTATTGTGCACTGCTTCCTCTACCAACGGCTGAGCCTTTCTGTACCCGCATGACTTTCACGCTTTTGGTTTGTTTTCAGGTTCCCTTTCTTTAGTGCTTGGTAGCGTCATCTCAGGATAACTTGATCTCACCTGCATCAGTTAATCATGCCTATTAATGCCGCTCTCCTTTCATCCCAAAATGGGAGTCTCACCTTGCCAGTATCTCATTTTACAACTACCACCATCACTACCTTGAATGGTTCCAGCCATGCAAACATCCGTATCTTCGATGTCCTCGTTGGTCTAATGATGGGTGTGACCATTGAGCACGGTACTGGTGGATTCGTCAAAGATCGGTTTTATACCGGTTCCCGTCTCCTACAGCCAGTCGCTAACTGGTCTGGCATTCCTATAGATATGATCAATTTCGTGGTAGCGAGTTTTGTCAGCCTTCCACTAGCTCTCATTATGCGCTACGGGTTACCTCCATCGCGTGTACGTCCCCTCTTTCGAGCTATTGCAGAAATCCTCCTTGGTGCTGGAGTAGTTATCTTTTGTTTTGGAATGCAACTCCGGGTCCTTCTGGTTCAATCCTGCGTAGCTTACGTAATCCTCCTTTTCTGTCAACACGATCGTCTCGTCACGCCTGTCGCTGTAACCACTTGGTCCCTGTTCTACCTTATGCTGATTCATCAGTGTCGTCTCTACTACGACTATGAGGGCTACACACTGGATATATCTGGCGCTGCAATGTTGCAGACACAACGACTTTCTAGTCTTGCATTCAATCTCTACGACGGTGTACGTATCGCAAAATCGTCTGCTTCTAACGGAACCTGCAAGACCTCCAATAACGGCGACTGTGTGGGCAACAACAATAACCCCAAAAGAACAATTGGTGAAGAAGGCGGACCCAATATCATGCCCTCTAGTCGAGAATGTGCCATCGCGAAAATGCCAGGTCCAATAGAGTTTGTGGCCTACTGCATGTACTTCCACGGTGTATGTATCGGGCCGTTTGTGTTTTTCAAGGACTACCAAAACTACTTACATGGATACGAGAATAAACACTTGCCTCCCATTCCCTTTCGTCGGCTCTTCTTCCTCAGCCTGCGCTTGACGGCTTATGGTCTCACCTATGCGGTGTTGTTCAGCCGCATTCCTATCGCTTTTATCAATCATGGAGCTTTTCAGGTTAGTCACCATTCTAAACACCAAAAGCATTGAAACCAACTTGACTTCTGCTTTATTCATGGTGGTGCTTCAATTTGAACGTGCTAGCAAAACTGCTCATGATAGAGGTTTGCCACACAAACGTCTTTAAAAAATCGAGTCACTAGCACGGCGATTTTATAGCTTTTATTATTGCGTTTGGTGCAATGCAATTCTTTGTGAAAATTGACTCTTAGAAGCAACCTTTTATACATATTCTGTTACATTGATCTCCTGTTAACTACGAGCATTGCTCTAGCCCAATGGAATCTTTTGGGTTTACACTCAACAAGGTCAAATTTTGGGTGCTCGTCTGATTTGGGAATGATCTGGAATATTTTATAATTACCTCTCCACATGAAGCTTACCATTTCATGCACTTTTACATGAAGCGGCCGGGTGCCAATCTTGAAGAAATCAGTGCTCTTATTGGTCCTGGAAATAGCCGCGGTAACAGGTGTTTAAGCCTCCATGGCTGGCAGCAAAATGCACAGATACTTAACCAAACGTCTAGTCCAGTCATGGACTTTGCTATTGAACTCTTACTTTGCTGTAGTTAAAGTCTTCTTCAGACGCAAGTACTCGCAGCCTTGTCTTTTTCGAGCGACACTACCGTCATTCCTCGTCCACGCGGACGTCTCCCACGAGTTGTGATAGGCTGCATTAGTTGCTTGGTTATACAGGAGTGCTATCATTAGTAGCATGGAGTTTTATACCTTCAATGGATCTAGTTTGCTAAACGGGTGGGTCATCGAATTATCCTATTTACCTTCCCAAATTTTGAGAGTTGGGTGCTTTTCGAAGATTGAGGAAGTTTAATACTTGTACCTGTTTTAATGAACCAAACCAAATATTCTTTTTTCATGTCATTTGCATCAGCGTTTTTCAGTCGCCGCCTGGCTGCACTGGAGCCGATAAGTAGCCGTTTTAATTTGCTGTTGGTAAGTTGCCTTAATTTGTGCTGGTTGGTGCCCCAGAAGGCAATTCACCCGTTTCATTCATACCCATCCTGACCTCCAATGTTGATTGTCTTGCAGAACTCAGCTGAGCCAAGCTCATATGGTTAGGATTCGTTTCTGCAAGGTATATAGGCTCTTTTCTACGTTCGTCGTTAGTCCACGTGTTGCCTATCTTTAGCTTTAAGCACCATCGGATAGGATAGCTAATATGGGGGGTTTGCTTCACCCCTTTGGGTAAAATAGGGAGCGAAATGGCTGCTGCTGGATGAGAGGTTTGAATGCACAATCATGGCTGAATGATTGTGCGCATTTAGGTGAACAAACTCGTTCAATGGTCAGGAGCAGTAGAGAAGCTTGCTGTCTTAAAAATGCATTAGTGGATCCTTTGATGGTTGGGCTTTTAAATGTAATGGTTTTAGCATTTCCTTGCTGGTGATTGACATTTAAATTGTTTTGTGTAACTTAGGCAATCTGCTAAATGGGTTGTGTTAACTTATGCACTGTCCACCCTAACCATGCCCTTATCTCAAGAAGAATTTCACTGTGTCCACGCTATTAGCTCTTAGATGATAACTTCTGAGGAAGTGACAGCAAATTGAAGCATTTCTAAGTCTCCGAAAAAAATCACGCAATGTCTATTTTTAAAGGTAGGTCATACCCAAAATATTGTGCGTGTATGACAATTTTCTCCTAAAAATCTTTGTCAACAATGGATAGGAACTTCGATTTGAAGCATACTGGTATCTGTGGAGGAAGCTTTCCACCACATCGCCGCTGAATTACACAGCCTAGTTGGTACCTACGTTATTACTTTTCAACCTTTCTGTCCATTCATTATGCATCTTCAACCACATTTGAACGGATTACTACGATTTAAGGGGGGCCTCAGGGCGCCACGGGAAATGCTCCAAACCCAAAACCCTTGCAAGTTTAACTGAGTCATCCATGGTTTACTGACTTCTCGATGGCGGTAGAATACGCCAAAACTGGGGGCCCCACACGGTTGAAAATGCATCAAGCTGAACTTCGTTCTGTTACATCACTGTTTACATTGAAATGTCCATTCAACGTACAATCGTAAACTAAGGGGCTACAACTTCGAGAGACAGCCAAATCGGAATCATACGTTTACCAGTGTGCTCCAACTTTGGTCTGTTGGAATGGCATTGCATGATGCCTGAGTATACATAGCTACCTTTTCCATAAAAAGTTACTATTTCTGGCATTCACTTGCTTTGTCATCGGCGCTCACTGGGCAGGCGCATGAGTCATGCTCAGGGGTAGTCATGCCCACTAGAGGGACGGGTACGTTGGCCAGCCGGCGGATAGAAAACTGCTAGGTTTTGGACAGTCGCCTTATTTTACCTGAATTACGAGTCATAACAACCATAACACACAAGTTCGTTCGCTGAGACTTGGGATATCCATAGCCTTTGCTGCCACCGCGGATTGTATCTTGGCCTTGTGATGTCACTGCACGTTCCACTAAGATTCGGAAAGCATTTCTACGTTTTTGTAGTCTTTGCATGGCAATGTTCCTCATTCTCTGTGACTCGTGCTATGCTCATTTATATCACTTCGGCTCGGTCGTCAGTGTTGCCATACAAACTTCGAAATGTTCACTTCCTAGAGGAATCGTTACGTCTGTTTGAGTTTTGTCCCCAAAGAATGTTACTTTCCTAATTCAAGGACTTAAATGTAATGCGTACCCCTCTTGATTTTCAAATGTAGGTCACCAATAGAGATGAGATCTTCCCTTGCATTCTCTTTATTACTGCAATAGTCAACCACGATAAACTTTTGGAAATGCATTGCCACCTTGAGGTTCTCACTGTTTTTTTGTGTTTACGTTGTTATCACCGATTTGTGTTCCACTCGTTTTCAGGGTGTGTAATCGTTCAACTATGAATCAAAACCCTTCTCTTGCTCTTTTGCTCCATTTTGCATCACAAATTGCGTCCTACCTTGAGGAGTGCGGCACCCCTCATCGAATGGACACTCCCAATCTCACGATCTGTCATCATGTGCAAATAAGTGTTGGTTTTGACCCAACGTCAGTTCGTTACAATGTCTGGCTTCTTTGAATAGGCATATGAAATATTTTTTTGGTGAAGATAAACTATTAATAATGGAAATATCACTTTGTCGGCACCGCCGAGTTTCCAACACTGCCATTTCGGATCCAGAAACACCTCCATAACCTTAATTTCGAGAGCTCATTGCCAGTTTATGCCGATTTTTTACTGCTGATAAACTAAGAACTTGCCTTAAAGTTGTCGCTCTTTTAGTGAGTGACATATTTTTTTAAACTTTGAGAAGAATTTTTCCTTTAATAGATCATTTTTAGTTGATGTCACGTCAAGTCAAGGATATAAGATATTCGGGCACATGTCTATTTATTCAGTTCTTCCCACACCTTGACAACTTCGCTCTTGTGGGCTCCCAATTTGACCATTTAAATGGTCGGGATTTCACGTACTGCATGTCTCTTCATGCAATGTAAAACGTGGGAGCAACATGTTTTCGCTGCTTGCTCTAGTCTCTCAGGTTTGGGGATACGCAAATGAAAGACAAGCCTGGATTCCGTTTCACGTCTAGAGTTTACTCTTTTTAATTTGTGAAGGGAAAAAGTTCGATGCACGCATAAAAAAAAAACATACATTCATAGATCTGTTGGAGGTGTGTCTCCACAATCAGGTTATGATAATTAACTGTTCTGGTGCAGGTTTTAATCCACGAGGGCAAGAGATCGCAAATGATCAATGATAGTCTGCTTTTTTTGCAAATTCGGTCATGCTGTGAGCAATATTGTCGTATTGCAATGCTGAAAAAGGCGAATGAGTAGAGGGCCAAATTTATCGTCTCCCTGTCTGGACGAGGTAGGGGATATGGAACTCGCCCTCCCTCTCCTGTTGTTATTTTTACCTCCTGATGCTGTTATTGCTGCCTCTGCTATAGTTGCAATGGGCAGCATTTGCAGAAGCATTGCGTCTCACGCCGTAAGTACGCGCCTGCGCACTCATCCGGGCCGTGGTGCGTTGCGTTGGTATTTGGCCCGGAACGTTTCCGTTTTGGTTAGACCATGTATATCTCCGTTCTCTCCCTCCCTCCCTCCCTCCCTCCCTTTTTAGGGTGAGGAACGTACTGCATCCTGGCGTGCGTACTTGGGTTTTGATTTCCTTTTTCGTGTTGCTCATTCTCGTCCCTCTCGCTTGTCCTATATACAATGTGTCCGTTTGAGACTACTCGCCTCTACTAATCCTGACTACTACTAATATCTCTCCTCCTCTTCTAGTATTTTTAGACTTCCAAATAGTCGTATATCCTCTCTCCCACCGTTTTCACTTGCTGCCAATGCACTAACATCGTAAAGTGATACTCGAAAGTGGATTTTTGCGCAACTTTACGAAGCAGAGTTGGTCTGGGCTTTGAGTCATTTTGTGGACATTAGCAGTCTTTGAAACGATGTGCTGTTATTTGGCACAGGTACTGCCTATATGCCTCTATGTTAGTGAAAAGACGAGGCAGAACGAGCTGTACTTTTAAGACCACAATTGTACTTTCAGTTGCGGTTGATTGTCGTAGTAGTACAGCGGTGGTGATTTTAGCTGGGGTGAAGCACAAGGTTTCGCTTCTATGTCAAAGGGACCTTGTGATAGGATGGCAATGCATTTGATCTACTAATAGAAATTTTCTAAGGCTGCCACTCATATCTGACCTTACTCATGCAAAGTTTGGTCAACAAGGGGATTTGTATGTTAATGAAATTTTATGACCATAAACTACAAATTACTAACCGTCATCATTTCATTTCGGCCGAATTCGTTAACCCACTAAATTTATATCTGTCCTGACAAACGATACGATGCATATTGAGGGCAAATTTGGATAAGCCAATTGCTCCTCTGTCAGCTTACGTTGTATCCTAGCTTAATCCAGCCGTTGGATCTCATTCCTTACCATCTTCGTTACTTGTTGTGGGTGATTTAATGAAGTTAAAATCCCACCTCCTTTTAGCTTCCAGTTATCCATTCACTCTTGCTCCAACTTCCGACAGTCGACTATCGTTACTTGCACATCAGCTTTCTTGTTGGTACTTCTAGGATAATACGATTTTGACTTCATTTTAACTTTGACAAAGACTGCGATCAAAAACGCGGGTTTAATACGGGAAAGAGGGTGCCACACCTCTGGTATGGAAACCTTTAACTAATCGCTTTAACTGCTAGTCAAAGTCTGGAAAATTATTACTATAGGGACCAGTAAAATTATAAATGTACTTTGTGGTTGTGAAGCCCACCAATCGGTTTGCAATAACCAGTTGCAACGGGGTGTCATAAACTCTCGAGGAGCCCGCCACGCATGAGTGGCATGGCATTCAGAGTTGGGCCTGAATGCATTTGTATGAGATGGTTGTGTGCGTGTGTGTAGCAGCGTTTCGGTCACTTGCACTATGTCCAAGCGTATGCATACGCCCACGCTACGCGGTTCAAATTGTTTTGATTTGTTTGTACCCACTCATTTTACGGGCTTGTGCGATTGTATTCTTCCGAACTAGTCAGACAAAACCGCAAAGCCAACGCTCACGTGCACGCGCTCACACATGGAGGGTAGCCCATGCTTTCGACGCATTCAACCGTCCGAAAGGAAAAATCTGTCTCTTGGACCCCTGTAGCCACAGGGGCATCCCGATAAAAGCCATTAGACACATTTATTATGAATGGATCCAGTGACTAGAATGACTACTATCATCGTATATCTTCATTCAAACTCGGAAGCGAACTCATTTCGCCAATGATAATATTAATGTGAACGACATTTCAAGGGAGACTGAAAGTTTACGTAAGCCATGCGTGTGGTCGCGATTGGTAGTGTTTTGTCATATTGCTCCTTTTCCGTTTTACGCATTTTTGTCCTCCGCATTCCCAAGAGTAACTCTATGCTATAGAAGCTACCTCCGGGCGCGCAGGCGCCATTGCTCTCTGTCAGTCATATTTTTGTTGCCTAGGTAGTTTTACGAGTTCCGATTTACTCGCTGTTTGCTCTTCTTGTCAAAGTTCAATTTTTGACCTAATTTCGTTGCTTCACTGGCTTCTAATGTCATTTCAGCACTCTCCAGCCACGTGTCGAGGTCATTGTACGATTTCTTTTGCATGACAATGTCAGACCCTCAATTTTTGCTTGTGTTTGATTAATGTGGGGAAGCAGTCAGACATGTTGCTTTGCATTGCCAAAAATGTAAGATTAACAGCGTAGCTGTCATAAATCATCTCACCGTCGAAGTGGCCTTTTTGTAACCTATAGTCATCCACTTGCATCCATGTGAACCATGTGTAAAGGCGCTACAATGGTGTGACGTTGGTGTAACTTCTTTCCTTCATCGAACCTTCTAAACAGGCTATGGTTGCATAGTTTGGTTCGTCGAATTCTTCGAAAGTTTAGCAGTCTCTTGTGCATTCACCTTAAGCATCTGTTACTTAGGCCTCTTTACGGTAGTGATAAGACTCATTAATTTGACGCCTTTCCTTTGAACTCTGCTTTTTTTGTCATTCAAGGGCAGTTTTGGAGCAAGGCTGCACAAAAACAGGTAAGGAATTTCATTGTCGCCATTTTTATATTTGCTTGTTCGTAATTAACTCGACAATTCTAGCTTTCTACTTTTAACACCGTTTTTCTCCTTTTCCCACATCTGGGTTCTTCATTGCCGTTTTTGAGGTTTTTTTCTGCCGCGAACTCCGCGCAAGTCATTTATATCACATTTTCATTTACGTTACGTCACCACACCCATTTTTGGCGTAGATTGTTGAAGCTTACGATCAACCGCTGCTAACTAGATAGCACATTAACAAATGCGACTGTAAGTCGTTCCCAAAATTAGGGAAAGATGATGTTGTCACAACTTTAGGAGCTTTCGCTAGTGGGTCAGACGAGCTACATGGTCGCGGCATTTTTTGTCGCCCGTTTAAAATACTACTTCGGCTGGAGCCTAGCTGAGATGTTGGGCATCTGCGCAGGCAACGGCTACACCGGTTTAGACCCGGAAACCCGAACCACTCTTTGGACCAAAGTACACAACTTTGACTTCTTCAAAGTTGAGACTGCGCCTAACCTGAAGATTCTAATCGACGCGTGGAACATTGGGACCGTTCGGTGGTTACGCGAGGTGGTCTACTTCCGCGCTCCACTGCGCTTCCGCACTGTGCTCGTTTTTATCGTTTCTGCATTTTGGCACGGCCTCTATCCCGGCTACTACCTCATGTTTCCCTCTTTTGCTCTATTCACATATACCTCCCGGTCCTGGCGTCGAAATATTCGTCCTCTTGTACTGGAAGCCCAGTCACCAAGACTGCAGTGCTTCTACGACATTTTCACTCTACTCATCACACAATTTACCATGGAATACGCACAAGCTCCCTTCCATCTTCTCAGCTTCAAACCCTCAATTACTCTTTGGATGAAGTTTCTCTTTGTGCCGCATATCATTGGCGTGGTAGTGATTGTCGCTGTAGCAGGGCTGGTTCGGTGCTTGAAGGCAGTTGTGGCAACACGAGTGTGCAGACACCATCTCTCGACAACGTCTCACCTCTGCGTTGGTGGCGTTGGCGTCGTGAGGCATTGTGCTGATGGTGTGGTAATGCATGACTGCAACGACTGACCTCAATTTTGCTATCACTTGTTTTGTGAACTCGTGTTGTATACACGCTGGTGCTGCCCTTATCGTGACCTCGTTAAAGTGTCGACATTATTTGTGTGTACATAGGTGTGATATATTGACGGTGCTTATTGCATGTACAAGACGTATTGTTGGTCCGTATCGATGTCTAGACCCATACTTTGGGAAGATTGTGGGGTTTTGTGTGGGAGTGGGGGATGTGTCGGTAACGGACGCCGAGTCATTTGTCTGTTGCAGGCATTCCGTTGAATGCTAAAAGAGGTTGTGTCTTCTTCTACGCTTTGCTCATCATATCTCAGTCTCTTTCCCCATGGAAGCGTGTTGTCCTTCCACGTGGAAGTTTGGAGGCAATGTCAGGTCGTGCCACAGGCAGGTAGGTGGACGTATTATGCACCAAAAA